AGAAGATCTTAAGCCAACAGGAATTATTGACAATTGCAAATTGCTAATTTCTCTGAATTGCTTTATAGATCACCAAATCCTTTTACACAATAAAGGTACGTAAAAAAAAACACTAACTACTACAAAAAAAAAACACACCATTAAATTTGATGAGAAAATCAGGAAACATTAAAAATTTACTTTATTTCTCTTACTTTAGCTCTTATAGCTGTCACCTCAGATTATAATTCCCTTAGTGCAGAAATTCTATAGACCGTACGTATCAAATGATATCTTTCTTAGAAGCGTATAATATGCACAAACAATCCTGAGTTTGTGAAATTGTAATCGAATGCCTAATAAAAAAGATTTTCCAAAATTAAATTATTTTTTTCTTCTTTTACAGATTTAAAAATCCTTTTTCAGGATTAAAGTATACACATTAATGTCTGTGAAGTATTAGGTACAACTTGTACAACTTTGCTTCCGCCGTTTTCCTATAGATGGCTTTAGCGGTAAGTGGTGGTCGAAATAAATAGATCATAGACGTCATACAATAAACTTGGGCATCTGTCAACATAATCCCATAGAAACATTAGTCGATTTGTGTCTGCATCATAAAGTTATTCTCGATTGAAAATGTCAGTTTACGAGTCAAATTCTCGTCATTGGAGGTTTTAATTTTTTGCTTCAATATGAAGAAATCTGCGGCTGAGGCTCATCGAATGTTCTCAAATACTTATGGTGAGACCGCTATTAGTGAAAGAACGTGTCATGAGTGGTTTGAACGCTTCAAGAACGGTGATTTTGACGTCCAAGGTTATGCTCTGTATTTGGTGGGACCAGCTTGGCGTAGTGTATTATGAACTATTAAAACCGACTGAAACAATCACAGGCGATCGGTATCGAACGCAATTGATGCGTTTGAGCCGAGCATTGAAAGACAAACGGCCGCAATAGAACGAGAGACACGATAAAGTGATTTTGCAGCATGACAATGCTCGACCCCATGTTGCGAAAGTGGTCAAGACATACTTGAAAACGTTGAAATGGGAAGTCCTACCCCACCCGCCGTATTCTCCAGACGTTGCTCCCTCTGACTATCACTTGTTTCGATCAATGGCACACGGCCTGGCTGACCAGCATTTCCGGTCTTATGAAGAAGTAAAAAATTGGATTGATTCGTGGATAGCCTCAAAAGATAACTAGTTTTTTCGACGCGGGATTCGTACGCTACCCGAAAGATGGGAGAAAGTAGTGGC